ATATTTTATATATACTATTAATATTTTTATTTACAAAGATAGACTCTGAAAGAATAATTTACTCCAAGGAGTTCAAGGCACGTGTCCATAAGAGTGAAATAAAACATAAAAATAATAAACAACAAATCGTAATCAGTGAGGTATAAACCGATTAAAAATTGGTAATTAAAATTACAGTTATATGAGGGACAAGAATGTAATTTTTTATATGGAAGTCCTTATTACAATTTATCGCACGACAAACTATCGTTTTAAACTTTTCGAGTTATGCGTAAAATGTCTGTTTCTTACATTTTGTTATCGAACTATGAGAATGGAATGAAAAATCGAATGATGATGATTCTGCGATCAGCGAAAAATATGAAAAATATTCAATTTTAGATCTGTTGTGCTGACCGATGTTGGAATAATTTTAAATTAGTGGAATTTAAATGTAACTAAATATTAAAAATATCTCAATATTTTTTCGACTAGGGTATTATAAGGTGATTTTAGACTTCTAATTATTTGCACCATAGCAACATGATGCGCAACTCACATTTAATATGAGAAGTAAAAGTATCGTATACAAAATGTATCTCAACTTTTAACCAGGGCAACATTTGGTGTTGCCAGTTAGTCGCATACTCTAGTTATCGCTCAAACATATCGGGCAATCGATATGCATGTTATTATTCAGTTATTTACAACTCACCACGAAAGACTTCAATGGCAAACAAGTTCTGCAGTTATTTACAATTTTCCGTTCATAGTAAAACTCAGCGCGCTTCTTTATTTCTTTTGGACGCGTATCTGTACGTTTCGTGAGTTTTACATACATATTAGCGCAACATAAGTGATGAATTTGTGTCACTTAAATTAAATACATTCATGCATTTATAGATGCGTGTGCATACATATAAGTTTGTGCGTAATTAATTGATACTATTGTGCCACCAGTGTCGTATGCAACTATACATATAAACAAATCGTAAGGTACATAAATACATGCATACATAGAGATGTCACATAAACAAAATATATGTATGTTGGTGCATATAAACAAAGTGGGCATACAAATAAATTGAATGAGTGTAAAATGCTAAGTGAGCTCGATTTTTTTGAGTATTCGGATACACACATGAATACATACATATGCATGTATAAACAAAGCCAATTTTATGCTACGAAAGGTACATGCGTATGTGTGGTATGTATGTATGTATATGTATACTGAAACATACATTTGTATGTTTACCACTTTCTCAGACAGCTCAAGAACGGTTTTATATACATGAATGCATACACACATATACATTTACATTTACTCATGCGTATGCGTGTATACATGAGCAAGCACGCATCTTTTCCTACCGTAAACAAGTCGCACTGTTAGTTAATATACACACACACACAGATACAGGCACGTACACAAGTGTATTTGAGTGTGTGTAATTTCTTCAGATATCTGGAGCAGCGCCATCGGAGAGTGTTTAGCACTCAAACATACTTAAAATATAAGAGTAGTATATACAGTTGTATGTCAGGCATGTGTGTCAAGCAAATCATACAGCAGCAGCAGCAGCAGTTGATGCTTGCAGCGACCAATTACAAATTATGGTAACAAAACGTATACATACAGACAGACAGACGGGCAGACATACAGTTAGATATATGTACATGCGTACAATTTGTTACCACAATGAATGTATGCATGCGTTTTTATATGCATGTGTGTGTGTGTGTGTTGGGATGTATGTGTGTGTGTGTGTGTTGGGATGTATGTGTGTGTGTGCTCGTCTGTTTTTTAAAGAAGGGTGTGTGTTTCCATTGCATTTAATTATGAAAATAACCGTGACCACATCGATCTGAAAATGAAAGGATTTTATCGTAAAAATTTACATACAAATAGCTAAGTTCATACCTACATACATTCAGGGCAGTTTGACCAGATTTATGGTAATATATACCAAAAAATATATACATACATATGTATTTGTGGAAAATTGATTAGATGCATGCACATATACGCATGTCTCTGTATTGTTAAAGTCTCTTTGTGTGTGTGTGTCTGTGTATAATAGCCACCGGGATTTAATACACGCATACATACGTACACTGTACATGCATACATATATCATATATAATTGGGCTCCTACCTATCCACCTCTGTGGCGGCAAAAGTAGAAAGGAGAAGGCAATTTACTCTATGTATGTATGTATGTATTTACCGGTACTAATTGAAAATTAGTGTTACAAAAGGAATCTTTTTGATTTTGTGCGAATGTGCGTCACAGGTAGACGGAAGCATCTGTGCGGTCTTTGGGCATAAAGTATCTCTCTACCTGTCTGTGTGTACCTATACATATGCCTATATGCATTAATCTAAGGCACAATGAAGCGCCATGCATTAGCTTATTTGAAATTATCGCTAGTCGATTTCCTTTTCGAAATGGTAATCGATTTGTTTTTAAATTCAAATTGTTTTTTATTTTTTTTTTTTTATTTGGTAATTATTTTTTTAAATATACATATAA